GGGAAGAGGAGCCATTCGCAGCTTCGGAGCCGTTGAAGAGGGGCAGGCGAATGGGTACCCCGACGGGCCGCGTGGCGAAGAAGCTGACAAGGATGGTGCCCAAGACGCCCGCAACAATGAGGAAGATGAGGAAGGTGGCTTTGGCGTAGATGGAGGCACCCACAAGGCACACGAGGAGGCAGAGAGCCAGCAGCACGGTGCCATAGAGCAGCTCGTACCAGTAGCTCTGAGGCAGGACGTGGACGCCTGTGCCTACTTTTTGCCCTGGGCAGAGACAAGCCAGGATCAGTGGGGCTCAGAGGGGGCATCACCAGGAGCTGAGAGCCACCAGCATTGTGCCAGGCATGATGGGCAACAACTCACTGGCCAGAGGGCTGGGTGAGCTGTGCCAGCCACAGTGCTTGGCACGCCTGGCAGGGAGCTAGAGCTACTTGGGTGAGGGACACCCACTGTCCCCTGCCACCAAACACAGGGGTACTCACCAGGTGGGATCCCAAAGCTGTCCACCACTGCCTCCACCAGCCCCAGCACGTAGAGGGCACTGCCACAGACATTGGCCAGGAAAAACATGATCCCGATGCTGCCCCCAAACTCCGGGCCCAGGGCACGGCTGATCATATCTTGCTTGAGTCAAGGGAAGATGCCAGCAGCCCAAAGCACCATTGGGTGCCCCCACCCCTCTCTCCCAGGCCAGGGGGTGGTCACAGCCCCAGCATGGCACCCCAAAGCCGCTGGGTGGTTACCCCATTTTGGCCCACATGACCTGCCCTGGCAGCACCCACAGCAAAGGATACAGTAGGCTCCTCCGGCATCCAGTGCCCCATTGGTGGCAATGGCACACACAGACAGCACCGTCATGCCAATGATGAAGTATGCCACCGCAAACATAGCCAGGGCTTGGTACAACCCGGCATGGCCCACCACGAACCCTGCCAAGGACATGGGAGAGGCCAGCGTGCCCATTAGCTGGGCACGGACCACCCCCCCCGACAGGGTCCCCAGGCACAACCGAGCCCCAGACCTCAACCTCACCGAGGCACATGGGCTGCTCCCATCCCTGTGCCCACAGCTCCCCCCAAACATGCCACCCCCTTCCCTGCCAGAGTGGGGAAGTCCCCATCCCAGAGTGCTGCCACCAGCAGCAGCACCTGGGGCCAGCCCAGCCGGTGCCCCCCACCTCAGGGGATCTCCATCCTCCTGCCGTGCCAGGATCAGGCCCGAGTGCACCCTGGGCACGGGCAGCTCACCGGGGCACACCCAAAAAGCAAACAAACCGGGCGAGGGCTCTGCTGCCCACCCAGCCCCGGGGCACTGTGGGGGGTGCCGGGACCCCTGTGCCCCTCTGTCACCCTCAGCGTGCAAAGGATGCCTGGCACCCCAGCTCAGGCACTAGGAGCCCACAGGGTTCACGTTGCCGCCATGCTTGCCCGCTGCAAAAGCAGGAAGCAAAAGCAGCCCCGGGGCATCCCTGCCAGCGGGGACACCGCTCCCCGGCCCCCCCCACCCCCGGGACCGGGG